ATATATATATATACAACATGTTGTTAGAGATTGCGAAGAATTGTTGAAATCACAATTAGGCTGGAGGGTATTTCTCATAATGAACAAATGTCATTATCGAAATGGTACCGGTTTTCATATCTACATTTCTGTCATTCCGAATGATTTTTCATCCTTCAAATTTTCAACTTTTCTAGGATAACGGAGTTGTAACAATTGATCAGATAATATTACATCAAAAGGAAAATAGTATGTACGGGGGGGCAGTTAAATTACATTCTCTAATTTTCATTTACTATATTAATTAATCAATTATTACATTAAGCAAAAAAATAATATGCAAATACATATACGCGTGAAGAATATTTGTATTTTCTAAATTTATTAATGTTAACTAATAAAGAAAATAATTTTAAAAAAAAAGAACGAAAAAAAAACTTCTTTTATAAATTTTAATTTTTGAACATATTGAAAAACTTTTTATAATTTAAGAAACTTTTTATAATTTAGGATAGGATGAAAATTTTTTACAATCATTTGAAAGAAAAAAAAAATGTTATTGTTTTAATTTGCAGGAATAGTTCACAATGGGATGAATTTTGTGACGCAATTAATGATTATGAAAATTGCTTATCAAATATGTCTTGTCGTGTGGAGCCTATTTCATCAGCAAATATTGCACTTTTCCGGACAATATGTGGAAGCGAAGAATCGACGACAAAACGTTATCTGCCATGCCTTACTCAATTTATCAACAGTGATAGTGGCCAAAAGTGCAATGAACCATTTGTCGGCTTGGATTTACTGGTGAAAGATGGTTCGCAAAAAATTTGTTCAACGTTAGTTTAGTATTAATTAATTAACTAACTATTGACCAATCAATGAATCGATTCAATTATTAACGAATGCATTTATTGGAGATTTTTTTTTTAAATCAGGCATAGTTTAAAATAAATTTAAAAATGTTTTTAGAGTTTTTTTTTTTTTGGAGAGCATTATTATAATACTTATGCGAATAAGATAATTTTCACTGTAATATTTTTCAGAAATTGTACATTAGATTTTTATCAATTTTATGAAAATTTTGACAGCATAATATTTTCAAATAATTCAACTGGAATTTTTTTTTTTTGTTATTTCTGTAATTATGATATTACAACATCAAATATTCGAATGGATTAAAATATTAGTAATTGTGTTAATATTTATGTGTATTGAGCAAAAATAACATAAAGTTAAAATTCAAATCTAAAAATAAATTTAACTTATATTTTAGCTTAGGAAATATATTTTCTTGTGCAGCACCGGAATTATCAGCACAATGCACCGAAGAGGCTTTAAAGCATGTTACAAGCATGCTTCTCATATGGGTACGAAAATTCGATCCTAACTGCTCAATTTCCGGATACGATAGAATTAAAGATCCAAGAGCGGAAGAAGATTTCTCAGTTGATTCCGGTCCAACACATATTTCAATTGATCAAACTGTATTACCGCCTATTACTTCTTCATCATCATCAAATCCGGAACCTGACGCCAGTTCACTAGCATCTGACAGCCTTCCGGAAGTAACTGTTAGCAGCGTTCATTTACCAGAATTCGAATTCATAACTAAGTCACAATCGGAATCAATTTTAACATCCGATACTGAATTTGTGCCTGACTGGAAGGCAGCCATGTCATTAACAGAACCACCAGTTCCAGAACCAAATCTCGAACCAACAAATACAGAAAATAACTTAACCGATTCTGCTCCATCTTTCCAATCATCCGCAAATTTATCATCGAAATTTGAATCAGCTAATGCTAAAAAATCGAAAATGCAGGGTATTGTTCTTTTCGAAATTTCGGATTTTTTTTTTGAAATCTAAATTTTATTTTAAAAAAAATTTTGTTCAATCATAATTCTTGACTAATTTATTTCACATTCCTTTATTTCTTCGCCGTAATTTCGATAATTTCATCTCTTTTTATTATGTTGAATTTTTAGGATAATTGAGGGATCTTAAAAAAACAGGATGAATTGAGTAAAATCATAATTTATTATGATTATCATGATTTTTTTCTCTCTAATAGTTAAATCAAAATTTATTCTTTATTTTTTTCTTTTTCATATTTTTTTTCTTCTTTTTTATCTAGTATTTCTTTTTTCTCAACTTAGCTACTTTTATTTTCAAAAGTTTACAAAGAGTTTGAATCATCTTTATCATTTTTAATTTATATTTTATAGCTAAATCATCTTGCAAATATTTTTCTTATCAACATAATATTTTCTCAAATTTAAATATATATTTTCTTAGTTACAGTTATAATAGGTTAGGATGAATGCAGGATTGTATATGCAACTATAAATTCTAATTATAATTTATTTTATTAAAACTTTTTTCACTAAAAAAATGCTTCCCAACAAAAAACATACTTCTTTAATAAAAATAAAACTTTTTTCGTTTTATCATTTATATTAAAAATTTGATCGCAGATTTCAGTTTAATTTTTTTTAAGAGAAAAAAATTTCAAATAAAAATAAAAATATCCTCCTTTTCAGAATCAGGACAAATGTGTAGCACTTCGTCAGGCTTATGGATCTTCCTAATTGTAATAATTATGCCAACGATGATGTTTTCTGTACAGTAACGGTGATGCTATTACAAAAATTTATCTCATTTTAAGTGTCATGTAAATTTCATCTTACTGTTATGATAAAGCGGCGTTTTTTTTA